TACAGATGACAAACTTCGAGTATAAATATATCATATCACTAATATTATTTTCAAACACAGATATTCAAGGCTACATATTAAAGTAAACAATTTTCTGTAAAACATTTTAAAAGTGTTTGTATATCTTTTTGCTTTTCCATTGATCCTTATTCCTTAAAATAGATTTCTCTCCTGCTTCTTCAATTATATATTACAATGAAAAGCATCGATGTAAGTAAAACAGTATCTAATATACAACTTTTTTCTTTAATCTCGGAAAATATTTTCTTTTAATCTTTGTGTTTCATCCAAAGAACAACTGAAAGTAATAACAACACACATGAAATAAATTCTATAAAATTTAATTTAATTTGAGTTTTTTAACATTACAATGTTTTATTCATAATCCTATTAATTTGTATTGTTAAATGTATAATTGTATAATACTATGTTAAATTCGAATAAAACGAATATTGAATTTTTTATAAAATACTTCCTTCATAACACGTCTCCTATAAAAAGATTCACAACGTTCAAGCCTGTAAAATACAAATTCTTAAGAGTGAATCCTGCATTTCATTCTTGCAGGATTCAATTTCGTTCTTCTTCTTTAGTTTCTGTTTTCTGTATTTTCAAGATGAAAATTAGCTAAACAGAAAAAATAAAACGATCATAAATATGAAACAAATTCATATTCAAAGTATTTTAAAATACTTCCTTCATAACACGTCTCCTATAAAAAGATTCACAACGTTCAAGCCTGTAAAATACAAATTCTTAAGAGTGAATCGTGCATTTCATTCTTGCAGGATTCAATTTCGTTCTTCTTCTTTAGTTTCCGTTTTCTGTATTTTCAAGATGAAAATTAACTAAATAGAAAGAATAAAACAATCATAAATATCACACAAATTCATATTCAAAGTAATTAAAATTTCCATTCTCTACGCTAAGTCTTTTAAAATATGTAAATTCCCTTCTTTAATTATTTCATACTAACAGTGTAAAATTTATTAAAATTTTAGTAAAATTACAATAAATTTTTCAGAAATCTTCTCTTGTATTCGAACCTCAACTATGATCATATTAATTAATTAAAAATGCTTTTATTAAATTTTATGTAATACTTACCTTACCGGGCAACATTTAATTTGTGTGTGCCACCACCTGTTATAGAATGTTTTTAATTATTAAATATCATATTATTAATTATTATAAAATAGCAAAAAGCTTATGGCTGTGTTATATAAAAAAAATTGTCAATGGGAATAACATCATTGAATGAAATCATTAAGTTTGTGAACGATAGTCGTGTGTCATATCTCCAGTTGGGGCACTACTGCAGATGTGACACGACCTTCGTTTGTTTGTTCACCCCCTCGATCTTTAACCACCAAAATTGAATTGCGTCAATGCCCCAATACAGAAACATTCCTAAAAATTTCAAAATTTTGTACAGAAAGCAAACAAAGGAGTTAAGCCTGGACTCCACATTACCTAAAAACAAACTCAGAAACAGAACTGGAACATATAGAGTTCTCATTTCAGTTATGTTTTCGTTTTAACTTGACTCCATTAGAAAAGCGCCATCTGTTGATCAGTTCTGTAATTGTCGTAGAGTTAAATATGAATGACACTACGGATTTTGCCATGCTTTCTCTGCATTTATTAACAATGAAATTGTTAATAAATTTGAATTATTTACATTTTTTGTCGTACAGACATCTGTATTTTCTTACTTCTTCGACGAAGAATTCCAAATGTATTTGTTTCCTCATCGTTTTCGCTACATTTTCCGCCATTACGACAATCAAACTACATGTGACTACGCGTCACAAATCCTTGCATTTTATTGGTTGCAGTACGACAGAAGCGCGGAACGAAAACGGAAAAGTTAAATAATTTTTAACTCTGCTTTCAGTCTTGTTTCTGTCCAACTGAACGTTACAAAACTGAAAGTTTTATCAGTTTGGCTTTCAGTTTTACCATTACATAGCGGATTGCGGTAATGTGGAGTCCAGGCTTTATTATGCTTCGAAAAAGTTAACAGAATACTGTCCCCCACACGAACATTCATATATACAGAAAAATACGACAAAATTTTTGTATTTTTTAAAGTTTTAATTAAGGTCCCGAGTTCAAAAAACTAAAAATCATAAAAGGTCATTTTTTTCACCGATGGCCATAGTTTCCCTCGGTTTTATACGACAATCAGGAAAGTAATTATTGAAGTAAAATAAATTTTCTAAATTAGAAAAAGATATCAATGATTATCACAAAAAACTATATCCGAATATTCTTACGTATTCCTTTCAGTTCACGTATTTCTTCTATGACGTCATGAAGTCTAGATTTAGATCAGTACGTAACGATAACCCCGAACTGTTATCAAGGTGGAAAGTGAAGAGAACATCAATAATAACAGAGAAACTTTTTTGACGTCCCAGTATTTTACGTCTATAATATAAACAAAAAAATATTGATATATTTAAATAACGTATATAAAATATAAATCTAAATTAGAATAAATATGTTTCGTATACTGAGGAAAAGGTAACTTAGATAACGCTTATATATCTATATCTATAGATAGAGAGGTGACTTTTAGATAACGCTTATATATTGTATATAAAACTATACACCTAAATAATCTAACCTAATTGTAATACCAGAGAAAAAAAAACTTATACAATCAATCAATAAATTATTTTCTAGACTAATTTATTATCTATTATATTCATAAACACAGGTTGATTATAGGCTGATTAAAAGTAATTCAATGGGATGTAGTAATCTNATGGCTTAGATTACTATCGCTGGCGCCCGTATCAGAGACCGTATATACACAGAATAATATCCCTTATAAGTCAGGAGGGCCTCCCGATATCCCACCTATACCGCCCAACGTGGCCCAGGTTTATCCTTACTTACGCCTAGAAGAGCTTACTCGATCTCCTTCGGAACACCCAGAAATCGCATGCGCACGATTCCGAGAGATGCAAATGTCAATCTGGCAGGGAAGGATCCTCATAGGAGCGGATGCCTCCAAGTCAAGGATCCGCACGTCGATAGGGATTGTCCTCCCGGACCACAACATCAGGGAGACCTGGATGTTACATAATTCTTGCAGTGTATACGGGGCAGAAGCCCTGGGTATAAAACGGGCGCTACACCTAAGCTCAAGCCTAGAAAGTCCGTCAGTCATATGCTCTGACAGTAAGTCCGCCATAGAGGAGATTTTACTCGCTTGTACTCTAAAGATCGATCTTGCAATCATCCAGACTTTAACACCCATATATTGGGCAAGAACAGACTTCTCACCTAGACAGCACGTGCAGGCCTCGAACGTTACGTAGCACGCACACATCGATTTGACTAATTGCGGACAAGAGTTCATCGGAGAAAAGGTGACCAGCCAGAATCTCCATATCAAAGAAGGAAGAAGACGCGGGGCTTCTTCTCCTGAAAGTTCCAAGTGACGGATGTAATGTAGTGCGTGTGTCTCGAACCCATCTTTGTCTCCATCTCCCGACCTCGGATTGACATCTTTCCATCAACGGAAGTCGGCCTCTTCGTCCGGAGTCGTCGAGACGTCGATGGAATTGGTCATTCACGAACCAAGGAAACTCATTCCCAATGGGACAATCTTGGAAAGGAGAGGAATACCCCGAGGCCGCAGCTGAAGTAGAACTTCCAAGATCGCGGAAATTTTGTAAGCTTCTTTCGTGTTTAATAAACGGATTGTGTTGTTGTAAACGAGGCATTAATCTCTGACTGAACTGCTTCCACATGTCGTTGATTGTTACCGCTCGGCAATCCAAACGGCAAGGAGACGATGACGATAAATATCGCATATTATCGTCAATATATCGNCTTTTTCTCCCAAAAGTCCCAAGTGACGGATCTAATGTAGTGTGTGTGTCTCGAACCCATCTTCGTCTCCATCTCCCGACCTCGGATCGACATCTTTCCATCAACGGAAGTCGACCTCTTCGTCCGGAGACGTCGATGGAATTGGTCATTCACGAACCAAGGACACTCATTCCCAATGGGACAATCTTGGAAAGGAGAGAAAGACCCCGAGACCGCAGCCGAAGTAGAACTTCCACGATCACGGAAATTTTGTAAGCTTCTTTCGTGTTTAATAAACGGGTTGTGTTGTTGTAAACGAGGCATCAATCTCTGACTCAACTGCTTCCACATGTCGTTGATTGTTACCGCTCGGCAATCCAAACGGCAAGGAGACGATGACGATAAATATCGCATATTATCGTCAATATATCGTTTTTA